TCACATTGACTCTTTCTTGACAGCATCTAATCAGAGATGGTTTTCACTTTCCTACTTCTTCCTTAGAATCACCCAGCCAAGTGAACTCTGTAAGAAGCTTTTTTAACGCCCTCTTACTGAGATGTGCATAATCGGTCTGAAATGTTTTCTCCTTTGCTGCAATAAACTAAATATTCCTACTTCTTTGATTATAGGCATCATGTTCCTTGCAGTCTTTGGCCAGAGGGCTTTAACAGTATCATGAAGCAATTCAAACAGTGTCATATTGCAAATAACTTAGAGGAAAAAAGATGAGCTCTAGAATTCTAGAATCTACATATGAAGAGTATGAATTAAATTGTTTCAGAAAATATATACATGACAAATGCAATATTTCTAAATTAACGTGTTATTTTATAAAATGTAAGACAGCAAATATGGAAGTCCTGCTCAATTAAGAAATTAAATATAATTAGACATTTTAAAATATCATCCATATTTCTAAATGCTTATGCTTACAAGTAACTCAAAAATCTATTGTAAATTTTATCTTTTCCTAGGGGAAGTTGAGGTCTCCCCATGCTCAAGCATTGTGATTAGTATCTATCCAACTTCTCATAGGTTTTTTTTCCCCTCAGTTGTAAAACAAGTTTGTATTTTAAAAAGTAAAACGCTGCTACTCATGCATTAATACATTATAAAATACCTCTAATATTGTTACCTTCTTTTTATAAGTCCCATCCCACCTTTTGTCATTGTTATTGGCACAGAAATTGTGCTCACTCATGAATGAATCCATCAAAATAGACTTGATTATTTGAGGGGACAACTTACGTATGTTATCTGTTGATTTTTGATGTTATAAAAAATTGCATTAGGTAAATGAGATCATGTGCATGGTAGATGATTATACAATTTAAAGTGTGTTATAATCACAAGAATATTTAATTGGGTGTTTTTTTAACCAAGAAGACAGTAATCAACTCCAGATACTATTATGACCATAATATCTAATTGGGCAACATTTTGACCAACAAGACACCAATCAACCTGCTATACCATAAATAAATCTTGAGATGCACATCTGTTGTGAGCAATATATTAAAGACTGCTACAAATAATAAACCCTGAGTAAGTTCCTGGAAATGTTAAGTTGTTGATGTTGACAGTAAAACAAACTCATTGGGAGGAAAAAAGACAGCTTAATACAGTAAATTAACAACAAAACAGCTTGGAAAATGAAACATCCCTGGTTGTGATTGACAGTAATTGAAAATGACTAATGATACTGTCATTTTGCAGCTTATATCTGAGGAAATGATGCCTGGAAGATTGCAATTGCCCTCTTGACCATTTGTCTACGGCAATTATTTTGTGCTAAAGGTTGGGATGGAATCCTTTAACCAAATACAGAAGACTCCTCACACCTTATTTTTTCTGTTACATTTTAAAATAATTCAAGTGTAGTAAGTAAAACATATTATTAGGTTCATGTAAGCAATTTCTTTTGATAATATGAAAAAATTAGCAAAGCAGAGCAGCTGGCATTATCTTATCACTTCAGCAAGTAACCAAGGCATTGAAAATTCCAGTAATGTTCTCAGTTCTAATATATGGAAGGTGATATGAACATTTAAAAACATATAAACACATTTTTAAAATGTGACAGAAAACAAGTGTGAATAGAAGAAAATGGCATGTAAATGCTTAAGTTCAAGAGTTAAAAAAGAACAATTTTTAAAACCAAATAACAAATGGTTTATTTCTTTAGTAGTTGCTTCTATTGTTGTGACTGATAGCAGTTGTTTTTGCTGCTTTTTAACTGCTAAGTGCAATGCTATTGAGTACCTAGTTGCTACTCTGTAGAAAATGAACTATATTTAAAAACTAATCCAACTATGTAACATCACAAAATATTACCAAAGATACAACTTTAGCAATTTTTAAGCAATTTACCTAACTTACAACATCAATCCTTAATTTCTGAAAAGATGAAATAACACAATACAAATAAAATAATAAAAGTGTGTGTGTAGGTGGGTAGGAGATTGGGGGGAGAGAGAAAGAGCGAAAGAGAGGAAAAGCAAAACAACTTGCTTAGCTCTTTAATCATGCTATTCTAAGATTTTTTCCAGTAATTTTGCTTCAGAGGTTTAGTACTACATGTATGTCATGAGTGGGATTGCCTCATAGTATATACTTGACCTTTTACAGGAATTGCTCAAAGAAAATAAGGAAGAGGTTGGTTAGTCAGAGATGGAAAAAAAAAAAAGAAACCAAAAATATACCATCTTTGAAAATTAAAGAAATCCTAGAGAAGTTGATGAAGTGAAGATAAGAAGAAAATGAAAAGAAACTGAATAGGAATGAGCCCAGTTCCCAGTCAGAGCTCAGCTTGGGAGGTGCGCGTAGGAGCTGAACAGACAAGCTGTCTGATGCAGAATGTGGAGGTGCCAATAGACAGTCAATTTCCTAAGAAACAGAAGCATTCTCTGATGTGCCTTTAATTAGAATGTCTGTAAGCGATGGACATGCTAATTATCCATTTAAATACTGAATCTCACATATACAGCATGAATGATTTTCATTTTCTATTTAAAAAATATCAATTTCTTCATAGTTGTTATAGTTTCCAAATGCAACTCCTCCCCAAAACAAAAAACAAAAACAAACTTTTCTCATGAAAATGTGCTGCAGACTACTCAGATCTTTTTTCCCTTTCTATTAAGAAGTGAGAAAGCTCAGAGTTAAGAAGAGGCATTAGAAATAGCACAATTTAAACATTTTGATATATGAACTCAAAGTTGAAAAAGGCTTTGTTCATGTTCTATCAGAGCAATGGATCACACTTCAGAAAAATCATTCCTAACCTTTTAAAGGAAGTTTTGTTCCATGCCGAGATTTAAACAGCCCTCACAGCTTTCTGCCTTGTACAGCTGGGTGTCATGTTCTGAACTATGAGGTTGATTTTTTGAGCTTCTAGTGTCTTAGGCTACCACAGACCCCAGGTAACCTCTAGGAGTTTCCAAGGTCATGGTCCATATAAAAGTTATATGGTAGACAGCTATTTTTCCACATCCCATATCTCCCAAATCAATCTTGCCTTTTTACCTCTATCAACGTGATTCTTCTTCAAACCCAAGGCAGATGTGGCAGAACAGGAATGAGTTTTCACTTAAGTTCTGCTTCTCCCAAATGAGCCGAATTGAGAAAAAAACCGGAAAAACAGGGAAGGAGAAGGAAAGAAAGAACAGTGCAACAGGGATGTGAAAGAGAAGGGAACTTATAGCCTTGTTCTTTCTTTTTATTTCAGAAAGGTAATTCTTTCTGATGGCAAATTCCAGCTCTGCATTTCTGATATCAAAGGGGTCCAGGAATTGAGTGGCGGTGGAATAAGTTCTCATCAACTGCTTGGATTGTTTTACATATAAATGAAAGCAAAGATTTTATCTTTAACTTTCCACCTCTCTGTCTCTCTCTCTCTCTCTCTCTCTCTTTCTCTCTCTCTCTCTCCTCTCTCTCGTTTCAAAAGCACAAAAGTAAAAGCCAAATTAAATGCATATTTTTGATCTGTAACAATCAATGCCAAACTTTGGTTCATAATCATACACTGTGTGGCATAAAGTCCTTTGATAATCAACAAAGAGTAGGTAGAAATCATGCAAAACTCATTCTGTTAACCACTACTGGGGACTGGCTTTCTTCAGAACATCAACAGGAATCCTGAAATGTGCTACTTTCAGTACTTTTTCTAGTTGTACAGTCTAAATACTAAGCACATTGTTTATGAAAAATGATCACATCAGATTTGGATTGCATACAAATTATATTTCTGGATTTTATGAGTGGAAACAATGTATTCCTGAATAAATGTATGTTGATATCTACAGAGAAACGTGTGCCTTTTAGCATGTGGTGTTTGGACATAATGTTCAGGCTCAAAATTTAAATTTACCTAAGGAAAAGTCCCTTGTAAGCAGCAAGGAAAACAAACAATCTTCTAGAAATGAAACCTGGGCCAAGCACAAGAAAAATTAAGCTGTGACCTTAAAGACAGAGTCTAAGCAAGCCATGGTAATGTTGTTTGCAAGGACAAACTGGTCCTGTATAATGAGGTTATTGACCTGCACTGTTTTAAAGCAGTTTTAAACATGAGGTTGAGGCTCACTATATCTCAGCCTGCAACATTAGCTGAGAAACTAAGACTGATCAATAAACAGCCACCATTACAGGCTCTGAGAAACCTTCATCATAATGGGAGCCATTATAATTTTGGTCAGTTACAGAGAATAAGGTAACCTATTCCTAACATCTATTTATCACTGGACTCTCATTTGCAAATGGAAGCCATTGATTAGTTATTTTTTGAAAACTGACCTTGCTTTCCATCTCTCTCCTCATGTAATAGCCTGTAAATAAATGTGCCCTAGACTTAAAATGCATATAGAGAAGAAAAATCAGTAGAAAGTTTTCTCCCAGGCCAGCTTTTTACCAAAGAGAAAAGCAATTACATGACATTTCACTAAAAATTCTTGATCCAATAAAGTACTGAAACCCGAATGCTGATTTTCCTCATTCATAAGAAAGAGCAACAGAGAAAAGAAAGGTCACGGACCATATTGTGATTCTTTACAGCTGTTGGAGACAGACAGTATGATGCAGTAGCTTGATTTGAATTAAGCCAAACAATATGAAAAGCATCAAGGCTGGCAAACAAAGCAATAAAGCCCCAAAGAATTTAATCTACCTTGAAGGTGGGACTACTTTTTGTATTGATAGCTGCACACCAGGACAGAAATGAGTCCTTTAATGCAATGACTCGTTAATAGCCTCAAGATCACAATATATAAATAGAAAATGTTGATCAAAAAGACAGCTTTGCCTCTGCTATTACAGTATGGCCAATATTTCCTTCAAGTTATTTCATTGATTATAAATAGACCACGTCAATGGCAAATGTACAACAGGGGAAGCATAACCCATTATGAGGTAATGGATATTGCTAGAGGTTGCTTCATTACCTTCACTGGCTGAGTGGCTGGTTTTTCCTTGTACAAATGCTGCCCTTTAGACAAAATCTCTTCCACATCCGGTTGTTTAGCTTGAACTGCTACTTCAGTTTCCTGGGGGAAGAGAACCCATATAGTGCAGATTAACTTCATGGTTAGCAATAAAATTACTAAATTTAAATATACCCTTGGAGACGCCACATGTATTGCAGATCAATTTCTGCCTAGTATGTAGGGGCAGAAAATAGTAGCATTTGATACAGAGAAGAAAAATAGAGATATAAAACACACTAAAGTTTAGAACAAAATTATCCAATATTTTCTTGAATGGTATAATAATACTTTTATATAGAAACACAGACATTAACTTTCTACTTTTCCAAAAAAGGAAAATGCAATAATGAGAGGTATAATTTATTAATATAATTTACATGGATAAATACTAGTATTAGCTTCAATAATCTCAATAGTTTAATGTTCCTTTGATTTTGCAAACTTCTCATTTTCCAAGATTCTATTTTGGGCATTGGATCTAAAATTTTGTTTTGAAATAGAAATCAGACAATTCTTTCCATATTACTGTCGACATTTTAAAGTTTCTTTCCAAAGAGAAAACACTTAAACCACATTATCAAAGTTTATTATTTGTTAAGTAGTCAAATTAAATAAATCTTTTGAGGAATTATTACATTAGTTTTTTTAGTGTTTGTTTTTCTGTAGCCAGGAGAAGACTGAAGCATGACAGGAGAAAACATTCCTTTAGATATATGAATATAAAGTGTTTTGTTACTGACTGCTGTCTAGCTCTCTTGAAGAGAGGATAAAGGAAACGTGCATAAATTGAAGCTGAAGGAAGTGAAGTTAAATATTACAGAAGACTTTTGGAAGGAGCACTTGTTAAACACTAGGATAGAATATCGATTAATCAATGTCAGGCATCAGTCAGGGCCTGGGCAATCTTCCCCAGAGAGCAACTCCTGATTAACCCATATATCTCTTTCTCCCTCTCTGTAGCCTCTCAGCACTGCTGTATGTATGTGTCTTCATACCACTGCTTCCTGGATATACTGTGTTTCTACTTATTCTCTATCAGCCTATCAGTGCAAAAAGTTATCTCATACTGCACAGTAGGCTGTTTTACAACTTATGGGTGCTCAGTACATGCTTTTGAGTGGAACTATTTCCCAGTTCTTATTATGATAAATACCAGTGAAAAACAGGCGCTCGGTCCAAAGTATCTGTAAATAACCTTGTGAATGGTCATTTGTACCTTTCAGTTCCTTTAGAACAGTAGTTTAGCTACTTCACTTATAGAACTGCTAATTGATGGTCTTAATGCCTATTGCCAACAAAAGGTATTGTTCCCTCAAAGTGCAATATTCAGAATGATTGTAAGTCTTTGCTAGAGGTAGAAATATTTCTGATCTAAGATTAGGAATGGGAAACATCTAGTTTGAGGCACTGAATTCTAAATAGGTCCCCCAGTCACCATGAATTCAACTTTAAATGCTCCATTTGCAAAACATTTTGGTAGTAAATGGTTACATGGTTTCAAAATACGCTGAGAGAGAAATGAAATATATTACACTAAAGAAGTAGAGAAAAGAGCATATGATCAGCAAAGTAAAAATGATTTAAGAGGAGAAAACAAGGTAACTGCATTTTTCCACCTATATGTGTTTGATTTATGTATATCATAAATTACCATGCCAGATAAATGCACAATGTCTAAGTTATGTATTTAAAATTATATGGCGGGACATGGTGGCTCACACTTGTAATCCCAGTCCTTTGAGACGCTGAGGCAAGAGGGTGATTAGAGCCCAGGAGGTTGAGGCTGGGCAATAGAAATCAGCCTGGGCAACATAGCAAGATCTTGTTTCTCAAACAAAACAAAACAAAACAAAAAAACAAAAACAAAGGAAAGACTTGGTGGTATGCTAGTAGTCCCAGATAATATTTAAACATAGTTTGGGAACAAGACAAGGCTGCCCACTCTCACCCTTCTTGTTCAACATTGTGTTGGAAGTTCTAGCTAGGGCAATTAGAGAAGAGAAGGAAATCAGGGGTATACAAATAGGAAAGAGGAAGTTAAGTTATCCCTCTTTGCTGACAATATGATCCTATACCTTGAAAATCCAAGAGAATCTGTCAAAAACCTCCTTGCACTGATAAATGACTTTGGCAAAGTTTCAGAGTACAAAATAAATGTGCAAAAGACAGCTGCATTCTCATACACCAACAATAAGCAGGTGGAGAAGCAAATAAAAGCACAATCCCATTCAAAATAGCCATAAAAAGAAAATTATATACCTCGGCATCTTCCTAACCAGAGAAGTGAAAGACCTCCAAGAAGACACAAACAAATGTAAAAATATTTCATGCTCATGGATAGGAAGAACCAACACTGTTAAGATGTCCGTCCTACCAAAGGTAATCTACAGATTCAACACAATACCCATTAAATTACCAATATCATTCTTCTCAGACCTGGAAATGACAATACAGAAATTCATATGGAAACATAAACGACCATGAATAGCCAAAACAATCTGTAGCAAAAGAAACAAAGCAGGAGGTATCACACTTCCAGACTTCAAACTTACTATAAGGCTACAGTAATCAAAACAGTCTGGTATTGGTACAAGAACAGGCATGCAGACCAATGGAACAAGATAGAGATTCCAGAAGCAATGCCTCAATTTCTCAACCAACTCATCTTTGACAAAGCTTCCAACAATAACCACTGGGGATAGGAGAACCTATTCAGTAAATGGTGCTGGGATAATTGACTGATCACATGCAGAAGATTGAAACAGGACCCCTACTTATCAACATTCACAAAAATTAACTCTAAATGGATGAAAGACTTAAATGTGAAACCTCAAACTATAAGAATCTTAGAAAATACTGGAGACACCCTTATGGAAATTGGAACTGGCAACCAATTCCTGATCAAAATCCTAAGTGCCTATACCATTAGAAATAAGATAGACAAGTGGGAGCTCATCAAACTGATGAGCTTCTGCAAAGCAAAAGAAACCATCAAGAGGGCAGGGAGACAGCCTACAGAACGGGAAAAAATAGTTGCCAACTGTGTATCTGGCAAAGGCCTAACATCTAGAATCTACAGGAAACTCAAAACATGCTGAAAAGAAAAAAAACCAAACCAAAACAAACAAAAAAACAGCCCCATTAAAAAGTGGGTAAAAGACATGAATAGATACTTCTCAAAAGAAGATATACAGGCAGCCAACAGACACATGAAAATGTGCTCAGCCTCACTCATCATCAGAGAAATGCAAATCAAAACCACACTGAGATACCACCTAACCCCTGTAAGAATGGGCATCATTAATAAAACAAACAAGAACAGATGCTGGTGAGGATGCGGAGAAAAAGGAACTTTTCTACACTGCTGATGGAAATGCAAACTAGTGTAACCTCTTTGGAAGACAGTGTGGCAATTTCTGTAAGAACTAGAAATTGACTTTCCATATGATCCAGTAATCTCCCTATTGGGAATATACCCAGAGGAACTCAAATCATTCTACAAAAAAGATACCTGCACACGTGTGTTTGTTGCAGCTCTATTCACAATAGCAAAAACATGGAACCAACCATGCTGCCCTTCAAAGTTGAACTGGATTAAAAAAATGTGGTACATATACACAATGAAATATTATGCAGCATAAAGAAGGACAAACATATGGACTTCGCAGCAAGTTGGATGGATTTAGTCTGTCATGCTCAGTGATTTATGACAGAAACAAAGAACAGAGTACCATATGTTCTCACTCATAAGTGGACCTTGAACAATTATACTATAAGAAAGGGATTGGCAGTAGTGGGAAACTGCTAGGGGAGGAGGGTGGGATTGGCAGTTGAGGGAAACTGCCAGGGGAGGGAGGGGCACACCTCATCAACAAGGGTACCTGCATAATGAACATTTGTATACCTAACCCTGAATTATACCCCACATCTTTAAAAAAAATAAAAAATAAATACAGCTTGGTCTGAATCCAAAGTTCATGTGATTTCCACTAGTATAAACAACCTCTTCACATCTTATATGAATTCGTAATGCTATTTTTAAGAATTAAGAAACTTGACTTTCACTGTCTGAATCTATTTCACATTATCACATATGTTGACAAAATGTCATACTTCTTTGATAATAAGGACAATCAATCTTGCTTGAAAAATAATTTGTGTTGTGGAGTATGTGTAGAGATTTCAGATTAAACCCTGTAGTCAGACCATGTGAGATGAGTCACTATGTGTCAATAACAGTATGGTAGTAGTCATTCCTATGCACTGGATTTTTTGAGAAACGATACCAGGCACCATTGTTCCCACTGCCATTCTGCAGTCTTATTTAAACTATTCCAACTTCTTGATTTCATCCTTCATAACACATTACAATTAGTGAAATTGTTTATGTGCATAGCTTGGACCATTTCAATAGAATCACTCTTTATGAGAACAAGATCCATGTCTGCCTTGTTTGCTCATGATATCCCTGGAAGTGCCTATCACATAGTAGGTACTTAATTCAAAAATTGTTAAATGGGCAAATAAATATTGTTGCACTTTGAATATGTGAGAATTGAGTTTGGTTGTATCTTAATGCAGATATTTGTTTATGCAGACAGGTGATTGTTTTTGTGGCACACTTATATTTCTTCCTAAATATTTTGCTAGAGTTAAATACAGAATCTATTCCTCTACTTTTGGATCTGTTGTATTTTAATTATTTTTTTAAATTTTTGACATCTTTATGTTATTGATTACAACAAGACCTTAAAAATGATTTCTATGAGAAATTAGAATGGGGTTATTTTATAGTTAATTAATCCTTTCATTGACTTCCTTTTCTTTAACTAAAATTCCATTTCTTTCATCATTTTCATAGCCAAATTATTTATGCAATTTAATATTCATCCACAGAAACAAGAGAAGATCACAATTACAAATGTTTTAGTTAACTAATGAGTATTTTACATAACAAATATTTGAATATGGATCCTCAAATCAGTTACTTGATAAATATTGCACATGAAGTATAGTAATATTTTTAAATTGTTATTTGTAATTTCAATGGAAAAGTACAC